TGGCTCTTCGCACGATCACGGCTTCAACGCTGAGATACAGACGCTTGGGAGGATCAGGCACCGGCACATTGTTCGATTGTTGGGATTTTGTTCGAATAATGAGACGAATCTGTTGGTTTACGAGTACATGCCGAACGGGAGCTTAGGAGAAATGCTGCACGGGAAGAAAGGCGGGCATTTGGTTTGGGACACGCGGTATAAGATCGCAGTCGACGCCGCGAAAGGACTCTGCTATCTCCACCACGACTGCTCGCCGTTGATCGTTCACCGCGACGTAAAATCGAACAACATCCTCCTTGACTCCAGCTTCGAGGCTCATGTGGCCGACTTCGGGCTCGCCAAGTTCTTGCAGGACTCGGGAGCGTCCGAGTGCATGTCCGCCATCGCTGGTTCTTACGGCTACATCGCGCCCGGTAAACCTTAAACGCTTTACTCAATTCTTGTTATTTGACAATTCGGATCAATTAACGATATTGTTTGCGTGTAGAATACGCATACACGCTTAAGGTGGACGAGAAGAGCGATGTGTACAGCTTCGGCGTGGTTCTTTTAGAGCTAGTCGCCGGGAGGAAGCCGGTCGGGGAGTTCGGAGACGGTGTCGACATAGTCCAATGGGTTCGAAAATTAACCAACGGCAGCAAAGACAATGTCCTTAAGATCATCGACCCGCGGCTTCAGACCGTGCCAATCCACGAGGTGATGCACGTGTTCTACGTCGCAATGCTTTGCGTCGAAGAACAGGCGGTCTCGCGCCCGACCATGCGCGAAGTTGTGCAAATGCTAACCGAGCTTCCAAAGCCTCCGGGCTCGAAACCGGATGGACCCCTTAAAGCCTCGGAGTCGGAGTCGGTGTCGGCGACTCCCGCCTCCGACGCCAATGGGACTCCGCCGGACCTTCTTAGCATCTAAGAGGCTCAAGAACTTGCTAAGGTACATATTACTAAACTAGTTGTTTTTTGTTATGAATTTGATTATATGTGTTTGATTAAGGTATTGTTAGTTATTAAGGTTTGGAAATTATTAAGGCTTGCAATGCAATGCAGCAGGAGGCAGGGGCCTGTGTTCAGTACTACCAAGTTGTAGGGAATTGTCTTGTTTTATTGTTCTTTGTCTGGAAACTGGGATTGACCATGTTTTTATTGGAATTTGTGGGGTTTTCTCGAGATGTGTGTTCGAAAATGAAAGAAATAGGGTGGGTTGGTGGGTGGGTGGGGGGTGCTTTTATGGAGTGGTGTGTAGCTTTCAATTACCAAGACAGTGAGGGGTTTTGATAGGGTGCAGATTTATTAGAAATTCATTGATTTTCTTGAATCTTGATCTTGGTGTTCTTCTTTCATCTGCCTGCATTTGGTCTGGTGAATGGAAGCTGCAGATCTGATCAGATCTGATCTGATCTGCCTTAGTTTTAAGGAATTAATTAGTAATTATTTGATAGTATTTTATGTGGGGAAATAATTTGGATTTATTTATGGTATTGAAGAAAGTGGGGAAATTTTGAATTTGTTTTGTAGCAATTAATTGCAGTGGAAATAGAATAGTAGTATGAGTTGCAGTGAGAAATAAAGGAACAGCGAGCGGAAGTTTCGGTGCTCATTGCCCTGCCCAACAATTATTTGAATTAAATAGGACTATAGCTTTTTCTGGAATTAATTATTTGAACCGAAATAAGGGTTTCTTGGGAGTGACCGGTGGGCCATTTTATTTATTTATTTTTCATATATATATATATATATTTAGTTTAATTTTCATTTGTATGCAATTATTATACTCTTCTATTATTTTTAGTTAAAAGATAAATATAGGATAATATTTGGATATACGTACGTTTCCATTCAATTCAACAACCCTTCTATTGTTAAATTGGTACTCCTTGTATCTTTAATAATCTGTTTACTTTTTCATTTTTGTATGTATTTTAAAAATATTTATATTTTTTATTTTCTAAAAAAATATATTATTTTTTATAATTTTCTTATTATAAAACATAAAAAATAATAAAAAGTATCAATCAAAATTTCATACATTAAAATTTGTGCCGAAAATGTTCGAGCATAAATTTGAGAGACTGGCAAAATTTTGAGCACAAATTTAAGAAACGAATGGAGTGGTTTTTATTGTTATACGTATTTTAATTTAATTTTAGTTCATAATTACCAACTTTGTTAAATATCTTTAGTATACACATCATTGTTAAAATGTAATTATTCATAAGTCACTACACTTAAAATTTTATTTGCTAAAATTTTAATAAATACTGAGTAAACTTATATTTGTAAAAAACTTAACCAAGATAGTAATTACTTAAGAACTAAAAATTGAATTAATATTATGGATTGTGAATTTAAGTCATTAATTTAAAAATATAGAAATTGAAATTGACACACATAATAATAATAATAATAATAATAATAATAATAATAATAATAATAATACAATACTTTATTGGACAAGGTATTTTAATTTTTGCAACTACAATTTTTTTAAATTTTTTTATTTTTTTTATATCAAAATTTCTTAGATACCATATAATTCAATAAAATTATAATTTATTGGATAAAAATAATAAAATATGAAAAAAAAAAATAGAGTTTTATTATCTGTATTTATATATTTTTTGACTTTTGGTTCTATAAATTGCTTGTTTTTAAAACTTTCTGATTTTGTTTTTAAAAGTATTCTTTTTATAAATACTAATATATTTTGTTTGATTCATTTGATAGAAAACACACCAGAAAGAAAAAAAAAGGATTATAAGAAGAATACGGAATAACATTATTTTGTTACCATTCTGATTAATCTGAAAATTTCAAAGAATATTCGTGTTTGGTTGTTCTTTCAATCCAACGGTGAGTTTTGTCACAGGTGTTTCTAATTCGACCAAAAATTTACCGAACGTGATGGATTTGTATTGTATGTGTTAGTATTATGATCGAAAATTACTAAATTGAAAACAAATTTAAAAGAAACTAAAAAGGACTTGGATTAAAGAACCAAAACAAAAAAAGTAGATACACAACCAAAACATAGTTTGTGGCTCAGGTTTTGTAGGTCGGCCTCTATTATCAAAGAGGAGACCAAAACAACGACAAAGAACTCTGGCTCCGGCCAACAGCACTTCGGAAACACTAATCTTCTACCCAAAGAAGGAAACCCCATTCTCGTAATAAAAACGGAATGAAACAAAACAATCGAACTGTAAAAATTCTCACACACACTTCCCGTAGCACACTGTAGGAAGAATCTCTCAATTTCACGGTGAAATATCACCGAAACCACCGGAGAATAATAGATCGAAGATATCTCAAGAGGAAAAAAAAAAAAAAAGGACAGAACACATAATATTGTGTGTTTTGTGGTGAAGAACGACAACATATATATTAATTAACCAATGAATGGTCAAGATTGAAGCCCTATGATGGATGGATGAGATTTGATATTGGAGTGACCGGGTCGGGTCAACACCGGATTTGGGTCAGGCGGGTCGGATCTAGGCCAAATTCAAAAGTATTTATTTCATATTTTAATTGTCACCGTTCCTCCTATTCCTATTCTTGCAGGGAATTGTATTTTTTAACTATGAAATATTTATAATAAAATTTTTTTATTTAATTTTTAAAAATTTAAACTTATTATGCATAAATTAATTATTATATTATTGATTTTATTATTTTTATTGTTATGTATTGAAAGGATATTTAAAAAATTCCTTCATACATATAAGTATAATATAATTTTTTTTTTTTAATTAGTAGTTCCATTCTTATTGTTTATATATCTTTTAATTATCTATTATGTTACTATTTTTTATAAATTATTTTTTTAAAAAAAATTATTATTTATATATTAATTTTTAAAATTGATTTGATTGAAGTATTGTTATATATATAAAAACTGTAAGTATTATTTATAAAAATATAAATTAGTATATAATTTAATTTAAAATAATTTTAAATATTGTATTTTAATAACCGACAATATTAGTATGTAAAGTTCATTTTATCTCTACGATGTAAATTTAATATGTAAAATAAATTTAAATTTAAAAGTATTCCTAATATATAATGAAGTTCGTGTATACTAAAAAAAATAAAATAATATATTTATGAGATAGCTTTTCGTAACTATATATATATATATCTTAATTCAAATTTATTTAAAAATTAATATTTTTGTTCTTTTATTTTATTTTATTTTTATTAATTTTGTTTTTATTATTTATAAAGTAATTTATTTTTATATATTTATATATTAACTCTGTGATTGATATTTATAATAAATTATTCTCCATATTTGTTGATTTATTTAATATTAATAATTAATTAATTATGATAAAATAATAATAAATTATTTATATTAAATTTTAAGTTATTATAATATTATAATAAATTAATAATAAATATAATTTATTTGTATATTTAAAATATTAATAGAAAATATTATTCTATTTAAGTATATAAAAATGATAAAATATTAAGTATTATTTATAAATATAAAATAATTATATTAAAAAATATTTGAAAGATGAGTGGTACTTTAATACAAATAATACGGGTTGATGGTCTCAAATCCACTTCCTCCTGTTATCTCTATTTTTTATTTTTTTCCTCTTATATAATTTATTATTATTTTAAAAAAATATAATTATATATAATTTAATTAAATTTTATAATATTTTTGATTTAAGTAATTTAATTATTTTAATTTTAATATATAATAATTATTTTTATTTATATATTTACCTAATTTATTACTATTTTTTATTTTTTACGTCTTATATAACTTATTATTTTTTTAAAAGAAATATAAATAAAATTTTAAATTTTATAATTTTTTTAATTTTAAGTAAATAATTTAATTATTTTAATTTAATATATAATAATTATTTTTATTTATATATTTTTTAATTATTTATTAATTATTAATTATATTTTAGCATTTAAGTAACAATCCCAAATTTCAGGGACCGAGGGAGTAACACACAACACCGCCCATACAGTCCACGCATCCCAAAGTCTCTCCTATCCTTTTCCTTCTCCCTCTATATATATATCCACTGTTGTTATCGCATTTTGATTTTAGTTTTGATTTTGATTTTGGGCATTTCCATTTGATTTTGCTTCCACACTCTATTTGGAAGAAGAAGAAGAAGAGGAATTATGCATCCAGGGGAGGAGATTCATCGCCGTGTTGCCACAATTTCTGCTCATCTCAATCCACCAACCAATCACTTCCAGGTTTACTTTACTATGTCGTTGAGATTTCTTTGTTTTGAAGTTCAATCATGTTTTTCGCTCACTTTAATCCCTAGCAGCGGGTGATACAGACAGTGATCACGAAAATTTCCATAACTATTGGACAATAAGCCTTTCACTAAGTATTTTTTTTGTTCCTCGGAAAAAATAAATTTGGGGATTTGTGTGATTATTTCATGAGGCTGATAATTTCACTCTGATTTGGATTGGAAGGTGGATGGATCATCGAATTTATGGCGTGTGGGTTGTCGCTCAAAGGGAGCGTCGCCTGGATTCAAAGTTGCGGTGTTGGGGGCGGCCGGTGGTATCGGCCAGCCTTTGGCGTTGCTGATGAAGATGAATCCATTGGTTTCGGTGCTTCATCTTTATGATGTGGTTAACACTCCAGGCGTCACTGCAGATATCAGCCATATGGACACTGGTGCTGTGGTAATATGAACTTTCCTTTTCAATCACTCATTTGAATTTCCATTAGTTTGTTGTTGCCTACTTTTCCCTGTTATATTTATATTATGCTAGAATAATTTGAATATCTGTTTCTTGTAATCCTATAGCTTCAGTTTGTTTGTGTTGAAATTTTGATGCTATGATGCTTGCCCTGGACTTTCTTTGACTTTTGGGTTTTTGCACTTGTACTGGTATGGTTCATCCAGTGCTTTGTTCTTTGAGGTTTTGTATATGGCCTCAGAAAGTGGAGTGGCTACTATTTAGGTCTCAAAGTAGGCAGATCCTCCATAATATGCTCTCTGGATCTGCTATATTGAGTTCTTATTATGGAGCTTTAAGGGATGAGAAAAAAATATTTTTTAATCGGCTTTGTTGAGGCCTAGGATACTTAAGTCAGCATCTTGTCATTGTTCAGTCCTCATTTCTGTTTATAAGCATTCACTGGTTTAAGAAGAGCTAGAAGTTTGAAATTTCTGGTTTGATTCCCACTGTAAGTAATTCATTGAATAGTTTGTAACTTCACATATAATTTGGTCATGACTCTAAATTTTCTTAGGCAGTGTTTCGTTGTATCTTACCAGTTATCAAGTTATAATCCTCTTTAATGCCCCCCCCCCCCCCCCAATAAAAAAAAATAAAACCACTACTTACACATACACAAACATAAGGATTTCAGCATATAATGATTATGACCATCCAAACTCGAACCTTATATATATGCTCACACTCAATCCCATAATCTCCTTTTATTTTTTTATACACATGCATTGTTTATGCGTTTGTATTTTTATTTATTTATTTATTTTGCCTCCAGTAATCTACCCATTTTACTTTTATTTTACCACCAAAGGAACGAAAAGGCATGGGAATTTAAAGAGTGAACATCCAAACCCAAATTCTAGTTACTTCATCGAGCACCTCATAGATTATATAAATATGCAGAAAAAAAAACAACTTGGCAGGGAAAAGGAAAAATAAAGTATCATTGTGAAGTGTTTCAATGGGATCCTCCATTCTCATTTAGTTACAACATTCACTTCTTGCTGAGGATTGAGAGTTAAGTAGAGCAAAGCTTCTCCAGAGCTAAGTTCTTGTTGCCTCCAATGCTTGAGCTTCAGGGAAGCCCATCTCAACAAGCTTTTGCACCTTTTCCTCCACACCGAGAGATGATGTCTTGGAAAATGCTTCAGAGTCCTGGGGATCGGAAGGTTCCGGGGCAGAGAGAGGTGCTTGAATGGAAAGAAGTGGTGTTTTCAAAGTCAGTGCCGAGCTCCACTAGTCTTTCGGGATATCAGGCATATGGCACCATTTATAAATAATTGTTAGTGTAGAAAAAAGTGCACGTGTTTCTTAATTTTATATTTACATGGTTTTTGGCCATCTTCTTAGAAGAAAGACATCTACAAGATGGTTAGACATTCAACCAGAAGTCTTACTACTATTAAAATAATTACATTGAGCGTCGACAAACTTGATCTTGTCCGACCATAGACAGAATTTAACCGGATCTCTTCTTATGCAGGTTCGTGGTTTCCTGGGTCAAAGTCAATTGGAGGATGCACTAACTGGCATGGACCTTGTCATCATTCCAGCTGGTGTCCCTAGGAAACCCGGAATGACAAGAGATGATCTTTTTAAAATCAATGCAGGAATTGTTAAGACACTCTGTGAAGGAATTGCCAAGTGTTGTCCTAAAGCCATTGTCAACATAATCAGTAATCCTGTAAACTCTACAGTGCCAATTGCAGCAGAGGTCTTCAAAAGGGCTGGAACCTATGATCCAAGGAGACTTTTAGGTGTCACAATGCTTGATGTGGTCAGAGCTAATACATTTGTGGTAAGAATGTTTTCCTAATCATCTTCATTATATTTTTTTTGTCTAGATCTACCTATAAGTCCTGGAAAATATGCTAATGGTTGTTTTGCTTGCTTTTATCTTGTCAAACGTTGTTTCCGCTGAATGGGTAACTTCCTTTCATTATATTTTTATGGTCTTGATCTACCCATAACTTTCTTTTATGAATTTAGCTGTGAAATGTTGTTTCTAGAAATATTATCGATGGTACTTTTAGAATGTTTGTGCACATTCACCATTTTGTTATAGTCATTCATACTTCAGTCTTGTTCTAAGCAGGGGTATATGTTACTCCAATAGATCAAATATCTCTTGCTTTTCTATCACTTGTCTATGTTTTCTTAGTTATTTATTTCTTATGTATGTGTGATGCTTAACGTAGCACAGTTAATATCCACAATGAAACTTGGTGCTTATAAGGTCAAAGTATATTTGGATTTAATTACACAAGGATCGTCAAGTTATAACTCGTACCCACCCCCCCCCCCCTTCCCCACCAACAACAGGCTTTATAGGACCTTGTACTAGTTTTAATTAAGTTGGAAATTCTGTCTGGAGTAACGGATGCCGTTAACAAACAGAAAATTAATATATGCCTTTACATAGTTGCATGCTGTTTCATTGATAACTTTACAAATGTATGTCTCCCTTGTTGCCTGCTATTTTTATTTTTTTTTGAAAGAATCCCTTGTTACCTACTATTTACTGACATCATGTATATATATTTATATATCAAGGCTGAAGTCATGGGACTAGATCCACGGGAAGTTGATGTTCCTGTTGTAGGTGGCCATGCTGGTGTGACTATTTTACCTCTTCTCTCCCAGGTTGAAATAAATATTTGATTTCATAAAGACATACCCACCCACATTTTTTGATTGCTGCGAATGAACTTATTTTTGTTGTGGTATGCAGACTAAACCTGCATGCTCTTTCACCAAAGAAGAGATTGATTACCTTACGCAACGCATACAGAATGGTGGGACTGAAGTTGTTGAGGTAGACCTTCTTGTTGATCTGGAATGCAGTTTCTTCTTAACTGATACAAATAAACAATAAATATTGTAGTTGTGTATATATAAATAGAAATGACCTGGTATAGTACTAGACTACCGATAAAGAACAAATAGAAACCTTTTCTCTGCTTCAGGACTTAATACAAATCTTTGTGACAGTTCAAAAATAGATGATTTCTATAAACTAGAGAAAAGCCATAGAAGTTGATATGAACATCAATGCCTCGATACTTGTAACCTCCTTTTGGCCCTCCGAATAACCTTAGATGTAATGCACTTATGTATTCTTGGTTGGGCATATCTTAGTAATGTTTGTTTTTACCTTATACTTATAAATGTGTTTCTTTGAGGCTTGTCTCATTTTCCACTGAATTGATTTGGAGAAGACATTCTATAAAGAATTATGTTTCAGCTATAATGTTTATTAACTGAAATTCTTTGGATCATCATAACCACTCCAAGAACTTAAAACGGGTGATGTGTAGTTGCATGCATCACTTTTTGTTGCCACAATTTTCTTCTTATTGACGTAAGGCACTTACAGACTTCTGTATAAAGTCATGGTCATAGTTTCCATTATCTATTATTTGATCAGTTTTACTTTCAATGATTGGATTGAAAGTTGACGCTGCCTTGAATTAGAATTTCCTCCTTACTGTTGAAGTGGCTGTCAGTTGGCTGCAGTAACTGTTGAAAACATAGTGAATTGGCAGAAGCCCAAGTTCAGTCATAGAGTTCCTTGATTCTCACTGTTAGATTTAGTTTATCCTCCAAATGCACACATCTTGTTTTACAAATAGTTTATCCTCCAAATGCACACATCATGTTTTACAAAAAGTAACTTACACAACAATTGGTGTTAGAACATTGGTTAGCACATCCACCCACTTGTGACTTTGATTGGTTGCTGGGGTTTGGATTGGCACATCATACCTTGAGTGCTCTTTGATTTTGGAAGTGAAGATCATGCTTACTTGTTAAAAAGATCTGATACATAATTACATACTAATTAAGAAGGCTTCAAGGAAACGGTGCAAGTGTTTTGACTCATTTATAGTGGCTTATGAGTATGTTCCGAATTTGTACGACACTCTTTGTGTACTTGTTTGATATACCTCAAACCTCTATGTTGATAATATATTAATTGTAACTAGAAGTAAAGAAGCGGTGAACAACTTGAAAAGACCGTTTAAGTATATAATTTAAATGAAAGACTAGGATATTTGATATAGAAAAGTTGACAAACTACTTGATGGGGGTGACTATGCCGAGCAACGGCATACCACAAGTTCATGACCCCTTCGAATGGTATTCTTACTAAGTCATTTAATGACAACAAAGTTGAATGGCTTTTATTGTTTTGGTAGTATTTATTGGGGAGAGGGGTACTTGAGGGATTGATGGACAAGGGAGGCCAAGTGGCATGGGAGGATGGAAAATGTGGCGTGTCTTGCCTTTAGAATGGATGAGACTGTCAGATCATGCTAGAATTAGAACGTATATGGGTTGAGCCAATTAGGTTTATTCATATATATATGCATATTTTTGTATTAACTTTAAGCAATTCAATATGGAGAATTTACACGGTATTACAGTTTCCGGCTCAACAGGATCATCCTCTAATAGACGGTGCACATTTGAGTATTGAATTTTTGTTGTTAGTATTATTATATCATGGAAAAATAAGAAGTAAAATGTTATTGCTAGATCTTGTGCTGAAGTTGAGTATCAAACTATAAATTTTGCCACTTATGAGCTCATATGAATCACGTAAGCTACTTTTAGATCCCAATGTTGTCCGTATCTTTGAGATGAAATTATTTTGTATGAACCAATGGAATGTTGCTTCTAATTCAGTTTTTCATGAGCAAACAAAATATAGAGATTGATTTCCATTTCATTGGAGAGGTGTTATCTGGATGCATCAATATTCTGCATCTTCATCTTCATCACATATAAATATAAAACTGCGTTTTTATCCATTATCGCAAATATTTCCATGGTTTATCATCTGAATTTTGCTGGAGCTTGTTGATGTCATAAAATCTTTTTCACTCTTATCGTTAACTAATTAGCTTAAAGAATGGTTTCTGTTGCAGGCTAAAGCTGGTTCAGGCTCTGCAACACTCTCAATGGTAGGCTGCCAATATACATTATATCTCATTTCGTCGATTATTGTGTGCGTGTGAGAATTGCTACCTATCCTCATATTTAAAAATAAAGAATGCATTTTTTGCAGGCATACGCTGCTGTGAAATTCGCCGATGCATGCTTGAGGGGTTTGAAGGGTGATGCTGGCGTCGTCGCATGCTCATTTGTGCCCTCTCAGGCATGTAGCATAATCCTCTATTGGATCAATAAGCTAAAAACTTGATCCTCAAATTGCTAATTTTTGAAAAAGCTCCTCAGGTAACCGAGCTCCCCTTCTTTGCATCAAAAGTGTTGCTAAGTCGAAACGGAGCAGAGGAGATCTATCCTCTCGGCCCTCTAAATGACTACGAAAGGTCCGGAAAAGAATCCCAATGCCTAAAACAATCCAATTATAAATGAAATGAAAGTTTGGTGAAGAACTTGAATCTTGATCCCATTCCTCAGGTCTGGCTTGGAAAAGGCAAAGACAGAGCTGGCGGGAAGCATTGAGAAAGGCGTCGCCTTCGTGAGGAATCAAGCATGAAGCGTCGCGAATCGGTAACCATTCCATCAAACTTCTTTAAAGTTCTTACATGGTTTCTATTTGCTCCCTTAAGCTAGATTAACTTATAAAAGTAACAAATTGTAGTTTCATTCAATAATAATAATAATAATAATAATCCTAAAAGATCACCACATAAAAAAATAAGATCCTTCAATGTGTCCCTCCTACATTGTCTTTGATTTGATTATTACAGTGTTGCTGTTGTAGAATTATCCTTTACAGCTAGCTACTTTCCTTCATATATATATTTATGTGTGTGTGTGTCCGTTGGTTTCGGCTTTTGGACTTGAATAATTTCCTTCCCTTTCCACATTGCAATGAAAAAAGAAATGTGCTTTTCAGATATATTTGACTCCACAGAATATCAGATCAGATGATGTATGACTATCTCCTCCTCCTCCATGTCTGAATTATTGAAGTGAAAGAAAAAGAAAAGTTTTATTTATTTATATTTATGGTGGTTTTGGGTTTGTCCGTTAGCAGAATTGAAGTTGAGGGTGTTTGACTAATAGTATAATATAGTGGTGGTGTGGTCGGAATTGGATTGAGTGGGAATATATATTGCCGTATGCGGAATGACGATGACGGTCTCACCTGCCGCAAATGGGGATGGTGGGACTCGAACTCGAGACATAGCCTAGCTTTGATACCATATCCGAACTTTTAATTTAAAATCAATTGGTGATAGGTGGAGAACCTCTTAGTCTTTATAAACCAAGGAGTTCTAAAGTGAGACTGTTATTGTTAAGACGGGGATCTGGGGTTCCAACTTAAAACCAATTGGTTATAAGTGGAGTAGCTCTTCACCCCTTATATACTCCCTCGAGATGATAATCTCGAAAATCCATACAGGATCCAAATTCAATATGAGCACCATGACTCTGATACTATATTAAAACGGGGATCTGGATTCCAACTTGAAATTAATTGGTTGTAAGTGGAGTAGTCTTTCCCCCTTATAAGGCAGGGGAATCCCAACATTACATCAAATGTGGGATAGTTAACAGTTATTTTAAATCCAGAGACATAGTATCACAACCTAAGTTAGAATTCGAATTCCACCGCATTTTGATTTGGATGGATATTGCAATTTTGTACATTGGATTGGAGGATCTAAAGGACTGTTGGATTTCTTTCTCAGAATCTAGAGATTTTTCTGTGCGTCCATTTGTTACTTTTGAATTATTTCTTAGATGAAAATAAGTTATAAATGAGGAATGCCCTTGTTGTTTGTACATCGTTTTTCAATTTTATTTATTTATTTATTTTTTTCCTGATTACTGTAAATGAGTTTATTGACCAAAATGATATCCAAAGTATATAGATGAAATGTGAGAGTATCGACCACTGCTAAGGTTTTTTTACATAACAAAGTTTGAAATTTTGGCACTATCTTTCTTTTCAAAAAAAAAAACCACATTAAATTCTAATTTTTTTATTTAATTTTTTTTAAATTCTGGAATTTCTAACAGTTATTCTTTTATTTTAAATTTTTTAAATTCTGGAATTTCTAACGTTTTTTTTTTTTTTTATATCTAAACTAAGCTGATAATCGATATAAAATATATGGACATGGTAAAATAGAAGTATTGATTGAGGAAGTGGGGTTTAAATTTTAAGCTTTAGCTTTATGAAAAAACAATCATATTCACTTTATTGGCATTTTTCAAAATTTCTATCGTATTATATATATATATATTGTTTTTAAAAACAATCATAAAACAAAAAAGTGATGATCATTATTGTGTTTGGTATTGTGTCGTGTCACATATTGTCGGCCACATCAATTTTTGGACTGACTTTCTCAATCATCTCTCTATGTATTTTCAACATAGTTGAATCAAATAATAATACAATTGTTACTCATGTCACTTTAATTCAAGAGTTCAATAAATAAAATATACCAAGGGTGTGATCGTTTACTAGATTTTTTTGAATGTCTATTATTTATTATTTCTTTTTAAAAAATACTTACAAAAATGAAAAAAAAAGAAGCAGGTTTTCAAAGATAGGAGTACCAATTCAAAAATAGATGGGTTGTTGAAATTGACAAAGCTCCTGTGAGACAGGTTAAAAGTCACTCTGCCTATCCTTTATATTTATTCTATATTTATCTTTTAACTAAAAATAATTGACGAATATAATATTTTGCATATAAATGAAAATTAAACTAAATATATATAGTATATATTAAAAATAAATAAATAAAATGGCCCACCGGTCACTCCCAGTAAACCCTTATTTCGGTTCAAAAAATTAATTCCAGAAAAAGCTATAGTCCTATTTAAATCAAATAATTGTTGGGCAAGGCAATGGGCACAGTAACATTCGCTGGCTGTTCCTTTATTTCTCACTGTAACTCGTACAGTACTATTCTATTTCCATTGCAATTAATTGCTACAAAACAAATTCAAAATTTCTCCACTTTCTTCAATACCATAAGTAAATCCAAATTATTTCCCCACATAAAATACTATCAAATAATTACTAATTAATTCCTTAAAACTAAGGGCAGATCTGATCAGATCTGCAGCTTCCATTCACCAGACAAATGCAGGCAGATGAAAGAAGAGCACCAAGATCAAGATTCAAGAAAATCAATGAATTTCTAATAAATCTGCACCCTATCAAAACCCCTCACTGTCTTGGTAATTGAAAGCTACACACCACTCCATAAAAGCACCCCCCACCCACCCACCAACCCACCCTATTTCTTTCATTTTCGAACACACATCTCGAGAAAACCCCACAAATTCCAATAAAAACATGGTCAATCCCAGTTTCCAGACAAAGAACAATAAAACAAGACAATTCCCTACAACTTACTACTACTGCAACACAGGCCCCTGCCTGCTGCTGCATTGCATGCATTGCAAGCCTTAATAATTTCCAAACCTTAATAACTAACAATACCTTAATCAAACACACATATAATCGAATTCATAAGTAAGAAAATACACTAGTTTAGTAGTATGTACCTTAGCAAGTTCTTGACCCTCTTAGATGCTAAGAAGGTCCGGCGGAGGCCCATCGGTGTCGGCGGCGGGAGTCGCCGACACCGACTCCGAGGCTTTATCGGGTCCATCCGGTTTCGACCCCGGAGGCTTCGGAAGCTCGGTTAGCATTTGCACGACTTCACGCATTGTCGGGCGTGAGACCGCCTGTTCTTCAACGCAAAGCATTGCGACGTAGAACACGTGCATCACCTCGTGGATTGGCACGGTCTGAAGCCTCGGATCGATGATCTTGAGGACGTTATCTTTGCTGCCGTTGGTTAATTTTCGAACCCATTGGACTATGTCAACACCGTCGCCGAACTCCCCGACCGGTTTCCTCCCGGCGACTAGTTCTAAAAGTACCACGCCAAAGCTGTATACGTCACTCTTCTCGTCCACCTTCAGCGTGTACGCATATTCTACATGCAAACAATATCGTTAATAAATCCGAATTGTCGATAACAAGAATTGAGTAAAGCGTTTAAGGTGTACCGGGCGCGATGTAGCCGTAAGAACCGGCGATGGCGGACATGCACTCGGATGCTCCTGAGTCCTGCAAGAACTTGGCGAGCCCGAAGTCGGCAACATGAGCCTCGAAGCTGGAGTCGAGGAGGATATTGTTCGATTTCACGTCGCGGTGAACGATCAACGGCGAGCAGTCGTGGTGGAGATAGCAGAGTCCTTTTGCGGCATCGACTGCGATCTTATACCGCGTGTCCCAAACCAAATGCCCGCCTTTCTTCCCGTGCAGCATTTCGCCTAAGCTCCCGTTCGGCATGTACTCGTAAACCAACAGATTTGTCTCATTATTCGAACAAAATCCCAACAATCGAACAATGTGCCGGTGCCTGATCCTCCCGAGTGTCTGTATCTCCGCGTTGAAGCCGTGATCGTGCGACGAGCCACCACGACTCATCCCAGGCAGCCTTTTCACTGCCACGAGCTCCCCATTCGGCATCAATCCCTTGTACACTATCCCGGCGCCTCCTTTACCAATAATGTTGTCCTCTTTCAGACAATCGAGCACGTCGTCGCACGTAAACTCCAACCGTTGGAACGCAGTAAGCTTCCACGATCGAGCTTCGCTCGCCCTTTTCAGAGCCCGAGCCTTAACAATGGCAGCAACAGCAAAGACAATCGAACAAACAAGCAAGACAATTACGAGCAAAAGCTTCATAGATGGAGAGAGTGTTCTGGATTTCTCGTGAGGCCTTTCAGCCCCGCCTGAGATTCCCTCCCGGCAGGGCCCTAAATAAGGGCCACAAAGATTGGGATTGCCCAAAAATGAAGTGTAATTGAAATAGCTGAACTGCCCGGTGCCGGGAACCATTCCGGACAGATTGTTATAAGAAAAATCTACAGATGTTAAGCTCTGCATACTAGCAATGGAAGATGGAATGCTACCGGATAAATGATTTCTCGACAAGTTCAAATAGTTAAGAATCCTCATACCAGTAATCTCCGCCGGAATTTCGCCGGAGAGCTGATTCCGGCTGAGGTCAACGAATGTGAGGAGACTGCACTGGCTCATCTCCGGCGAAAGCGGACCTGATAACTCGTTGTGGCTTAAATCCATCTTCGATAGCTGCTGTAATTTGCCGATTTGAGACGGAATCCTGCCGGAAAATTTGTTGCCGTCGAGCAAAAGCTTCTGGACCCCGGCGAAGTTTCCGATGCTCGGCGGCAACGGTCCGGTTAGATGGTTGTTGGAGAGGCTGATTTGGCCGAGCGTCGTCGATAGTTCGTCGCTCGCCGGAAAAGGACCGGATAAGAGATTATCCTGAAGCTCGACTTGACTTAGGTTAGGCAAACTCAGTAATCCTTTAGGAATAGATCCGTTTAGATAATTATCCCCCATTCGAATCCGAGCCAGAGATTTACAGTTGCCGAGCGATTCGGGAATCGGACCTAACAGGAAGTTCTCGAGAGTAATCAGTGTCTGGAGGCTATTGCCGGAGCACAGATTTGGGGGTAAATTTCCGGTGAGTTTGTTTGAACTGACGTCGATTTCGCGGAGCTTTCCATTTGTTCCCAAACTCTGAGGAATAATTCCGGTGAAATTGTTCTCCCACAGCTGCAAAACCTGGAGCTCCGGCAACTCGCCGATGAAATCTGGTATCGAACCGGTGAGCTTGTTTCGGAAGAGATTTAAGAGAGTCATGTTTTTCAGCTCTGAAAACGACGGCGGTATTTCGCCGGAGAGAACGTTGTTCGACAGATCTACTGATTTCAAGCTCTTCAAGTTACCGAGTTGCGGCGGCAGTCTGCCGGTGAGACCGTTTACTTGGAGAAAAAGAGTGTCCAGATTTTGCAGGTTACCTATCTCCGGAGGAATCTCGCCGGAGAGTCCACAATTAGCAGCGTCGAACCGTTTCAACTGCGACAAATTCCCAATCTCCTTTGGTATTCCACCGAAGAAAGTATTGTAGTATCCGATGTAAAGCTCCTTAAGCCGAGTTAAATTCCCGATCTCCGGCGGAATAGTGCCGTTGAGTTCATTACCGGAAACCGCTAGGTACTCTAGGTTAGGAAATGAGCCAAACTCCGGCGGTATTGTACCTGTAAAGAAGTTTCCGCCGATGTGCAAGTGGCGGAGATTGGTGAGCAAATACGCTCGCGAAGGAATCTCCCCGGTCATATTGTTGTTGTAAATGTCGAGAACTTGGAGGTTTCTCAGGCGGTAGAGCTCCGGCGGGAAACTGAGGTTGAAGACATTGTTGGAGAGATTAAGGTACCTTAGATTAGGGATGTTGGAGAGTTGGGGAGGGACGGGGCCAGAGAACAAATTCTCCGCAACAGTGAGGTTAACAAGGAACCGGAGATGGCCGACTTCCGGCGAAAGGACGCCGGCGAGACTAAGGTTCGAGACATCAAGCGCTATCACGTGCCCGCCGGACGGAGTGCACGTGACTCCCTTCCACGTGCAATGGCCGGTGGTCTCGTTCCACGAAGCAAGTGCAGATTGCGGGTCGTCGGTGACTGCGGCCTTAATGGCCAACAAGGCGCCTTGCTCCGACATCCGCGGCGGCCTTGCGGCGGCGGAGAGGCGGAAGAGGAGGAATAGCAAGAGGAAACGCATTCCGAGCAGCGAATCGGCGCCGGCGAGGAGAAATGGAAAAGGGCGAGGCAGGTGAGCGGCGTGAGGCGAATAGCAGAGTGGGAAAGAAAAAGTGTGAGCGAAATTTTCGACAGTCTGCTTCCTTTTTTATTTTGTCGTTTTCCGGGATTTGATTTAAGGGGTTGTTTGGACATCTATATATAAAAATAAATAAAATAAATAATTAAAATAAAATCCAGTTGTAAACTCAACTTATATTATTATTGTTAATAATAATATTATTATTATATGCCACTTCGGATATAGGTACGGTTCTATTATTTGTATATATATTTGGTATTTAACTTAAATTGAACAAGTATTTTAACTAAAATTGTAGAGCATCCATCATCTATTGACATGACCTAGAATTATAATTCAAATATTTGTTCAATTCAGACAGCATCAGCATATATATTATATTAATTTCGCCAAACATGATGCAATATTTGTGTTTAACACGAAAGTTTAGAGGAAGAGTATTAAGTACGGTAATTTGAGATAATTTTGATATTAAGTAATGTAATTTATAAGAAAAATGATTTTTTTTTTTATTTGAGTGATTTGATGGAATTAAGTAAAGTGTATATTAATATATATATATTATTAATTATTTTTAAATTTAAAAATATTACAGTGAATTTAGAACAAATAAAAGAAAAAATATTGCAAAGCGTTTGGGACGAAGACAATATAATATTAGCATCGAACTTGTGTTATGCATAAATTATTTTTAAATTAAATTATAATATTGATTTATTACTTTTTTTTTTATAAATAATACTTATAGTTTATATATATATAATATTACTTGAATCAAATTAATTTAAAAAATAATTTATAAAAAATAATAATATATTATGTAATTAAAAGATATATAAGACAATAAGAATGAAACTATTATAATAAAAAAAAAAAAAAAAATTATATCATAATTATATATATATGGATTATGGATTTTCCAAATATTCTTTGAAAATTAATTAAAAAAATGTATATACAATCAGGATGAAAAAATAAATTTAAAAAAATAAATAAATAATATATATATTGTGTTTTCTTTTGTGTCTTTTTTTGTGATTTTTTTTTTCTTTTTACATCGAAATATGAATATTACAGTTAATTAGTTTAAAATAAAAAAAATACATAACAACAAAGATAACATAATCAATATAATACAATAATTAATTTTTACATAATCAAGTTTAAATTTATTTTAAATTAAATTTTAAAAAGAAAAAAATTATGTGTCCGTCAAGTTGATCTGGCGGACACGTGTCATCCGACGAGCTACATGAGTGCCACGTAGGCATCTCCCGTGTCGGAGGATTAACATTGTGAAAATTTTCCATGTACAAAACTAATGTGCGATAAACTCCAATTACAAGACTAAAATGAAAAAATAGTTCAGTTACGAGACTATAAAATCAATTTACTTTAAAAATAATGAATACGTGTAATATAATAATTTTTTCGAGAAATATGAAAATGTTTTCTTTTTGACAAAAACAAACAAACCCATCTTTTTATACAAAATACTCCATCTGTCTCGATTCAAAGTATTTTTTACCATTTTTTTCAGTCTCATTTCAAAATATTTATTTTATATATTAGAAAAAATTAATCATATACTAATACTTAAATAATTTTTAATTTTTACCTAAAATATAAATATATCATTACATATATAGTTACTTGATCAAAATCTCTTAAATACTTTTACTAATTAATAAACTATTATTATATTATAATTTACTATAAAAGTCTAAATGACTCATTTGATAAATGAGGAAAGAAATGGAGTATATGATTTTATTATTTTCATTATTTACAAAATAATTATTCTATTACCATAAACAATATATATAGTCTACACATCATTATAAAACTACTGTTCTTTTAATATTATTTAACAAATATTATTAATTTTAATACTTAAATTAAGGCACATTTACTAACAGACAAATTCAAGGAGTAGTTAATTTAACATCATACTATACTCACTCCCATTAAAATATTTCTCATATTCCAATCCAAATGGACCTTTACTATTTTATAGTAAATTAATAAATAATAATATATATTTTTTATTAATTTAAGAAAATATGTATGATAATATTGATATTTTTACCTGTTATACTTTATACATAACTTAATTAAATGTGTAATTTTATATTGGAATCTATCTAAAATTTTTAAAGTATTTGATATTAATTTATTACTCTCTTCTTCTCGGATATTATGTTCGCTTTAATGTAGATACGAAAATTTATAAAAGATATAATTAATAAATAATTAATAGGTGAACATGATAATAGGGATAGAAGGAGTATTACTTTTACTGTAATAAAAAATTATACTTCATCCGTCCTATTTAATTTGTCTCGTATTTCAATATCCATCTGTCTCACATAAATTGAATTTTTTTATTTTTGAAAATATAATTATACACTTTAATCACATTTTAGAATTTATAATTTGTAAGTTTTTTTATTTTAATTAAACTATTTAATCAATTTAATATTAATCTATAATTATTTTTATTATATTATAATTAATTTTATTAATACACTTATTAATTATTTACTAATTACATTGTACCTAAAACTCTGTTCTCAGCTAAAGTGAATAAATTAGACAGATGAAATAGTATTTTTTTAGTAGAACGAACAAAAATAATAATAAAAATATTTTTTAGTTGGAAGGATATGAATATCATATTTATCAATGTTGTATTTAAAAAAATAATAATAAAAAAATGTGACATTACAGGACAAGAAATAATATTTTACCTTAAGAAAACCTATAGGTTTCTGTTTTAAAATTATATATATTATCTTGTCCGGCTCTAAGGGTCCCATTTAGCTTTTGTGTTATTATATTTAATATTAAAAATATTATTATATTTATATAATATTTTGCATTAATGCCATTATAATAGTATTATAAGACACTAATATAACTATTTTTGTCATTTTTTCTTAATTTGTACTACGTTTTTATATATTTCCTCCGTCGTTCAAATCTATACTCACTTTCATTTTTGGGTTGTCATTGAAAAATATTTTTGTTTCATTTTTAAGTAAAAAATTATTATATTTTTATACTTGTTTTTATTATAAAAGGAAAAAGTAATCATTATTACTCACTTTTATTAGAATTTGTGTCCGGTCAAATGAGCACATATTTGCATGATAGAGAGAGTAATAATTAATGTTCAAATATCAACATGTAAAAGTAAATGAGACCCTTAGAGCTGAAAGAAGGTAGTATTTAGTTTTGCTTTAAATGGTATTTGATGTGATCATTTATGAAAGAAAATAAATCGTAATACTTATTTCGTCACAATTCAAAATATTCTTTTTATTATTTTAGTATGTCTCATTTTAAAGTATCGATTTTATAGTTTACTATATTTAATCACACGGTAATACCAAAATATCATTGTATTTAAATTATAAATATACTATTACACGTATAATTATTTTGCACATAAAATTAAATTAAAAAAATAATAAAACTTCATGCACACTCTTAGTAACCAATAAAATATTACTATTGTTTTTTAATTTATTACAAAATTTCAAAATGATACATAGTATAACAAAATGAGTATATTTTATGGGAAACTATACAAATTAAATAATATTGAGTTGTGTTTCACAAATCAAATACATTATTGTTTTTCTTTTTTATTTCAAACACAAATTAATATTATTCAACAATATGATTTTAGGTAAAAATATATTTTCTCAATCCATCAATTTTATGCTCCTTTCATATTTGACGGATCAAAAAAATATTATTTTATTTAAAAATATTAAATCTAATAATATTAAAATTATAATTTAATTTTAAACTAAAACTAAAAAAAAACTCTATATATATATTTTTTTAAAAAAAACGTTATTTCTTCGTGTAGCATGTCACGTGAAATTTGTTTAATGTGATTTACCTAACCGGTGTAATTTTTAAATTACTGTGTTTGATTAGCCAATATGCACTCAAATAATACAAATTTATAAATATATATAGTAATAGTTAAAAAAAATAAGTATGCAAGCATAAACGTTGCTTTTTAATTTTAATTATAAAAAGGTTAAAGTGAGGTGGCAGGAGAGCGTGCGATATGTTTGTTACGCTTTGACCGTTAATTATTATTAGTTCACCTGCATTAATGATGATTACTCTTGTTTTAATTATCATTAGTTACTAATAATAATTAGACAGTGATGACGACGTTGTAGCGGCAATGCATTCATCCTTACAACACTTTTTAGTGGGGCACACACAGAGACACCTTTGATAGTCACTTAACCCAAACTGTGAAATGACGTAACAGCCCTCCGTTTTGTTACAAAAAGGACCAAAGCCTGCCCTAGGAATGCGACACTAAAGTCGTTTTTGCTGGGGAAAATATCATTTGGTACCCCTCTTGCCTAGACTTTTGAAATCCCTAATTTGCCCCTCTTTTTAATTTTGCTATTCCATGAAACGGCAGAGGAAATTTTGTCAATTATAGCAGTATGCATATATATATATATATGTATATTCCCTGGACCTGTATCCCATTGAAAAATTGTCATTTTCTATTTTTATTCGTTCCAAAATAATATTATTATTTTCTAATTTAATAATTATATCTCTAACATAATAAATATCCTTCCAACTTAAGTTATATTATACAAATGGCATTACTTATATATTACATAATAATAATAAGGGTATTTTCGTCTTTTTCACTACATTCTATTATAATACTAATATTTAAAAATATACGTGCAAAAAGTAAACGACAACCTTGTACCGTGATGGAGGGAGTATAATACTTCATCAGTCCGTCTCTAAAAGTTACATTTATTATATTTAATATTAAAAATATTTTTATATTTAGATACTTTTTTTGTACAAATATATTTATATTATTATTTTAATACAGTAATTAAAGTATTTTTTCAAATTTTCTTAATTTATACTCCATCTGTCATATATCTATGTATCAATTTAATTTTTGCACGAAGTTTTAGAAATATTAATATTATATGGAGATGCAGTATAAATAAATTATAAATAACTAAAATAATCTTATTAGTATTGTGTGATATAAAGACAATGATATTTGTGTAATATATTGTAAATTGTGAGGGT